ATATTCACCAACTGTTTTGTTTGTACTACATACCAAGCATGGTTAGTCTGAATACAGAACCCTAGTAGTCTTATTCACCAACTGTTTTGTTTGTACTACATACCAAGCATGGTTAGTCTGAATACAGAACCCTAGTAGTCTTATTCACCAACTGTTTTGTCTCTACTACATACCAAGCATGGTTAGTCTGAATACAGAACCGTAGTCGTCATATTCACCCACTGGTTTGTCTCTACTACATACCAAGCATGGTTAGTCTGAATACAGAACCGTAGTCGTCATATTCACCCACTGTTTTTGTCTGTATTAAATTTGCTAAGATGCAAGTATCTCACAAAGATGACGGGATGGCTAATAAGGATACATTACAAATATTGTTGTTGTTTTTACGTTTAAAATTAAACTATTTCTAACATTATCGTCTAACTATCACGTTCTTAATGTATCCATATTTTTTCTTTCTGGAATTAAATGAATCCTAAGTTGTCCACTAGCTACCCTTGTTTATTTGTTTTTTGTCTCTTTAGTATATCAAGTTATAAGTTACCTTTAAAAATTGTCACCTGTATATCATAGCAGTTAGGTAGGTGTATTTGGAAATGTATAAACAATCTTTCAATTTTACTTGAAAAATTTTCTGTTACTATGAATCTTTTTTTTTAAGATTCCCATTTTGAGAATCCTAATCATATTATACAGTGACTGTTGTTATTAATTTCCGACTGATCTTTTTTTATTGTTTTTTTTTTTGGGGGGGGAGGGAGGAGAAATTTAATACCAGCAGCAGAAAGTGATAACAATAGTGTGTGTTTGGTGAATGGCTAACTAAACGGAAAATGTACACTCACTGGCCATTTCTTACAATGATTGTGACTTTCACCAAATCTGAAGTAATTTTAGCTGAGGCTAACACTGTCCACCTTTTATCAGCTACCAAACTTTCACTTTGCAGTACTGTAGACACACACACACACTTAAGTCCTCGTGGGCATCTATTGTAAGTATTTACTGGCCCTATTTTCCCTAAGGTCATACACTTGACCTGTGCAGATTTCACTAGTGAGCTTGGTAAATGAATTTATTTAAACATTATTGTAACGGACGTGTGGGCAGCCCGTGGGCTTAGTCGTTGGGTTCGACTTTACACTCGTTACAAAGAAATTTATTTGGATTTCGGGTCGTGCTTTCGAGAGTGGAGCGCATAAGCCACCAGCTCGAGGGAGTTTAGGTGCGGAATAAAGAACTTGCACAGAGTGGAGCGCATAAGCCACCAGCTCGAGGGAGTTTAGGTGCGGAATAAAGAACTTGCACAGAGTGGAGCGCATAAGCCACCAGCTCGAGGGAGTTTAGGTGCGGAATAAAGAACTTGCACAGAGTGGAGCGCATAAGCCACCAACTCGAGGGAGTTTAGGTGCGGAATAAAGAACTTGCACAGAGACAACTGAATATAAATTAAATAACTTCTTTATTTATTATATACTGTTAAATGATTAATTTATATCGAAACTGTCAAGGTTCTCTTGAAACAACACTAACCCTAAATCATTGAATTCTTCACTTTGAAAGTCCAGATTGTCATTAATAAGACATTCCATTACGGTCAATAACATAGACACATCACTAGCTAAGTTATTAACTAAGTAATCATGAGAAATTAACAATTCATAACAAGATATCTTTCAGTAATTCCACTATAAACATTTTCAAATTTACTGTTTCATTAGTACTGTTAATGTTCTTCACTATTTTCTCTTTATGCATTATTGAGCCTTACGTGAAACACTGTTAGACCAGATCAGAAACAGCATACATACGAGGAGATTGTGTGGTGAACTTCTTGTAGATTCTGGATTACCGCTATCTTCTGGAGTCAGAACAGATCCCCAGAGCAACTTAATAAGTGCAGAGAAGTCGATGTTTGGAGTTATATACACAATTTTTAGTGTTTTTCTGATTGTTCAAGAAGTTTAGCAGATCTACTTTCAAAAGTAGTTCCATGAACTCGATTGGTGCAAGTGAACTATTCCATCAGACTTGAACCAAAAATCCACTTTGTTATTGGTCCTTACAGAACTTATTTCTGTCCCTTATCTAATATCTTTGGAGAAATCATCCAAGACAATTAACTTAGGGCGTATAGACACAAGCCATATAACTCCGGTTTCTTCACTAAGAATATTTCACCCTGCATTTTCGTGACATTGGTTCATTTCTTCGTGTGTTTTATCTAACTCAACATATCACATCTGTCCGGCTCGAGAATTGGTAGCTGCGAATTCTTGCACCTCTGAGACTAGAATGTCCCGGGCTAACTACTGCAATGGGCTTCAAGCCTGTAGCCTGTTTCTTCCATATTTAGTATTGTGCTTCACTAGTGTCCACGTTTTTATCATAAAATTTTCGATCCGTTGCTTTCTCCATACTATACGTTAAAAAATAAATAAATAAAAGATACTTCTTGAAAACCTTTAACTTCGTATTTAACAAATACTTCATTATTCTAATTATCTTTATTTACTAAATTATTTTTTAACTTTTTAATTTTTAAATTTGGCATTTATTTTTGAGATATGAATTTTGTAAACTACTGTTTACTAATAATTTGTCTCCATCTCCAGTTTGACAGAAATTACCCCTCCCCTTGCTTCTCCAACTGACAGTATGCCGTCGGAGAATAACCCTCTCGTTACTCCTAAGCCTATTTCCATGCATCGAAGTGCTTCTTTCGGGACACCTGGTGTTCAAGCAGATCGAAGGAGTGCTAAACCAGGTAAGTAAATGAGAAGTAAATGACGTAATAAAATCTAAAAACAGTGGCCTCACGTCAAAACTGTTTGAGAAATAGTTGTAATTATTCTAAAATGTAATAACCTTCTGACGAAAAAAAATAAAGGTAGAGCGCGTGGATGTTAGTCCCTCGGGTGTAATTACACCTTTACATGACCACTGTGTACTTCTATATACGTCAATGTCATAGGTCACACATTCAACAAACATACGCTCAAGTATAGGGTTAAATTTGCCCTGAAGTCCGCAACTGAAGTTTGATGTGGGTCATGCCCTACGGCCAGGTGACCACAGATGTTAAGCGTTCCTAGTAGGACAGTTCCTCGCGAACACACACACACACTCAGTGCATGTGCTCAGTATAGGGTTAAATTTGGCCTGAAGTCCGTAACTGAAGTTTGATGTGGGTCATGCCCTACGGCTAGGTGACCACTGATGTTAAGCGCTCCTGGTAGGACAGTTCCTCGCGAACACACACACACACACACACACTCAGTGCACATGCTCAGTATAGCTGAAAGAAACTCGTGCTAATAATACCTCATGCAGGTAGAAAACATGTTTACCGGGTATGGGAGTCTCGCAGTTATTACACTGACTGTTTTTAAAATCTAGGCAATCTCAAGTTCAACAGACCTCGGTTACTAAGGCAACAGAACAGTATTTTCACTTACGCTGGTACACTGTCCTTGAACTGGTTATATTACCGCTTAACTGTGTTATTTGGCGTTTCACGAAAACAACAGACACGTACCATAAAATCTGTGTAGAGCCGAATTAAGATCATAGTGGACGCACAGACAACATCATTTCCGTGTTTTCCTTTCACTGCAAGCCCTCTTTCTTTTTACTTTGCAAAAAACAAACAAATCTCGAAAAACCGTGGCAGGGATTTACTTTTTAAAGGAAATAAAACTTTCTGAAATTGGCGTGTTCAGGGATATTGATATATCCCCCTTCGCCCCTGACGCCAAAATATTATTGCAGAGTTTGTGGGGTTAATAAAGTTTCGGAGATGGGTCATAACTATTAATTAGGCGGATATGATGACTTGAGAAATGTCTGGAAGTTCGGGAGGCAGAGAGAAGACCAAGGTCGATGACGACGTTGACTAAAATAAGCAAGGCGACAACATTCGCTTTGCATTGAAAGTTCACCAATCAAAGCAGCCATGTACTAAACACAATGCTATTAAAATACGTAAAAAATGACCCGAGAAGGCATAACTAATTGTGGGCTTATTTCCCCGAATGAGGGCCGAAAGCCGCTAGTAGGGGTCACCTGTTTTAGCTACTCGCACCAATATACAGTAGTGTGTTGTCTGTCAGTTAGCCAATAGATACTAAAATGACGTCACATAAGGGACGCTTAACGTTGCAATTGATACTGTCGTGACGTCAGTGAAACGTGAGCGTGTCATAACTCACGAGAAGAATTACACACTATGTATGCTACAACACAACACTGCACGTGAACTTCAAAAGCAAGAAATAAATACACCTGTTACTCTTAATTTCGATTTTATTTACTCTTTAAACAGGACACTTTCGGTAACCCTGCGGAAGTACATCTAGCAGGCAAGTGACTATTTTGGATTGTGGTTAATCTGGCCCAAGATTTCTGTGGTTTTGTGTTGAACAGTTACTATTTGCTACTGAAATAAGAAACGTAGTATTGTTTAAAATACGTAGTATTGTTTGAAATACGTAGTATTGCTTGAAATAAGAAACGTAGTATTGTTTAAAATAAGAAACGTAGTATTGCTTGAAATAAGAAACGTAGTATTGTTTGAAATAAGAAACGTAGTATTGTTTGAAATAAGAAACGTAGTATTGTTTGAAATAAGAAACGTAGTATTGTTTGAAATAAGAA